CCAGGAAGGGGCCCGTCGTCCCCCCCCCCCCCCCCCCAAAGTGACCATTTCCTTGTTTCTTCCCCAATCCGACACTTTTTATTACTGCTGGAATTGTTTTTATTGTGAAAAAGAAATCACGATGCTTTCCCAGTTGGGAGCAAAAAACAGGGGCAGGGAGTCCCGTGTTTGTTTTTTAAGGTAAACAAATTAATAAAGGAGATTAAGGATGTAATTACACCCCAGCGGCGTTTCCGAATTAGGAATTATTTAAGGGACAAGAGGTTCAGTCGAAACGGATTATTTAATAGGACTCAAAATATACAGACAACTGAGCAAAGGGCTTCTGCTGCCCCATTTCCCTTCACCTTCCACCCTAAAGTCTGGGCCACGATCGTTAGATGTTCGTTAGGGGAATTATAACCCCACGTTTGGACAAACCAGGTAATTAGGGGGCTTTTCCAGGGCTCAGGACACCGGTGTCTCCGCAGCCACCTCATTCCTGGGCTCTTCCACAGCTTCCAATTCCAGCTCCGAGGCCGTGTCCCGTTCAGAGCTGGGGTTTGTGAGAAGAAGCTGAGGATTTGGGGCCGTGGAATGTCCTGTTCTGCCCCAAAACAGCTGGTGGGAAGCTCCAGATGGGCAAGATGGGGTTCCTCAGGGATTCACCGTCGGCTGCTCGACCTCGGCGCGGTTTGGGAGCTCTCGGTGCTTCGGCCACGGAAGCCTGAAGTTGTCACTTCCTCCAGGAAGCTGCCAGGAAAAATCCAGGTTAGCAGAGCCAAGGGCTGAATTCTCCCCACCCCAGGGGACAGACAATACCCAGGAGGCCTCTGAGAGGTTCTCCACAACCTCAGAGCTCTGTTTTCTCCCCCTGGTGTCACCGAGATGGGGGGACAGCCCCAAAAAGGAGAGGATTTGCCCACAGCAGCGTGTGATCTGACCAAAATCCCACCCAAAGCAGGGATCCCAATCCCAAGGGTGATGCTCCTTCCCCTCATCAGGCTCCCCTCCATCCCAGCAGCTCCCTCCCCAAGGAGGAGGTGGCAGGGAGCGAGGTCCCTGAAGGGAGAGGTGAGGTCTCCAGTCTCTCCTGGAGAAGGAGAAGGCTCCCAGGGCCAGCTCCTCACGGGCTCAGCTCCGTGTCTGGTCACAAAGCCAGGAAGACCAGGGGCTCAGGGTTGTTTTTCTGCTCCCTCTCCGTTTTCCTGTGCAGATGATAAGGCAGGAAGAGACAGGGTGGAACCCTCCTGCTGGGGCATCCTGGACATTTCACAGCCAGGACTCCCTCCAGCCACCCAGCTCCTCGGCCTCACACCCACAGGAGGACCCTCCTGGGGGTGTTGGTGGCCTGTGGGCTGAACAGGAGCCAGCAGTGTGCCCAGGTGGCCAAGGTGGCCACCAGCATCCTGGCCTGTATCAGGAGCAGTGTGGGGAGTAGGGCCCCAGAGGTGATTGTCCCCCTGGACTGGGCACTGGTGAGGCCCCACCTTGAGTACTGTGTCCAGTTTTGGGCCCCCCACCATAAAAAAGACATTGAGGGGCTGGAGCGGGTCCAGAGAAGGGCAACAAAGATGGTGAGGGGTCTGGAGAGTAAGTCTGATGAGGAGAGGCTGAGGGAGCTGGGGGTGTTCAGCCTGGAGAAGAGGAGGCTGAAGGGAGACCTTCTTGCTCTCTCCAACTCCCTGAAAGGAGGGTGTAGAGAGGTGGGGGTCGGGCTCTGCTCTCAAGTCCCAGGCGACAGGACAAGAGGAAATGGCCTCAAGTTGCCCCAGGGGAGGTTCAGGCTGGAGATTAGGAACAATTTTTTTCCCTGAAAGGGTTCTCAGCCCTTGGAATGGGCTGCCCAGGGAG